GGCCGGCTCACATAATGTGATGGGCTCCGTTTCTAACTACTCACGCCTTACGGAGTAAGTGTTCCTTCGGTGGTTCACAAGCCCCGACCTTGGGACTTCACCAGGCCTGCCTCTAAGAGCCACCATGTTCATACTTCTTCTTGGGCCTCATTGGACTTTCTTCATGTTAAACCGCCACCGGTGTGACCCGGCCTCTCCTGGGCGGGTCATCCCTCGGAGTTATATCCCCAACAGCACACGTTCAGCTCGATGATGTCCTCGCCTTCTCGATCCAGCAAGAGAGACGAAGTAGTAGTTGAGTTCTGGCAGCACGACAGCATCATGACGGTGGTGGTGAACTTGTTCCCGCAGGGCTTCGCCATGCACTGCGGAAAAACTTGACGGAGGATGAAACCGGGGAGAGGGGCGCCGCACATGGCTTGGGGATTGTCGTGGTGTGTATTGCCCCTCTCCCTCCTCTCTCACATATATAGGTGGGGAGAGGGGAGGCAGCCCAGGCGCACCCCTAGGTGGTCGGCGGCCTGCCCTTAGGCGCCCCCCCTCCTTATTTGCTCTCGAGGGAAGGAAAGGGGAGGAGAGGGAAGGCAAAGGAAGGCCGACTCCCCTCCTTCCTTTTTTCCCCAAGGCCAGCATCTAGAGGTGGGGCGCGCTAGCCCCTTGTGGGCTGGTGTGCTCCCCTCGTTTGGCCCATATGTCCCAATAACCTCCCGGGGCCTCCCGGAACCCCATCTGGTGATCCGATAAGTACCCGCTACATTTTGAAACCTTTTCAAAGACCAAATACTATCGTCCTATATATCAATCTTTACCTCCAGACCATTCTTTACCTCCAGACCATTCCGAAGATCCTCATCATGTTCAGGATCACATCCAGGACTCCGGACAACATTCGGTCACTAACTCGCATAACTCATATAATACTATATCATCAACAAACGTTAAGAGTGCGGACCCTATGGGTTCGAGAATGATGTAGACATGACCGAGACACCTCTCTGGTAAATAACCAATAGCGGGACCTGGATGCCCATATTGGTTCCTATATATTCTATGAAGATCTTTATCGGTTGAACCTTTATGACAACATATGTAGTTCCTTTGTTTGTCGGTATGTTACTTGCCCGAGATTCGATCGTCGGTATCTCCATACCTAGTTCAATCTCGTCACGAGCAAGTCTCTTTACTCGTTCCGTAATACATAATCTTGTAACTAACTCCTTAGTCACTTTGCTTGCAAGCTTCTTGTGACGTTGTATTACCGAGAGGGCCCAGAGATACCTCTCCGTCACACGGAGTGACAAATCCCAATCTCGATCCATGCCAACTCAACAGACACCTTCGGAGATACCTGTAGAGCATCTTTATGATCACCCAGTTACGTTGTGAAGTTTGATAGCACACAAGGTATTCCTCCGACATCTGGGAGTTGCATGATCTCATGGTTGAAGGAATATGTATTTGACATTAAGAAAGCGGTAGCAATAAACTGAATGATCTTATACTAAGCTAACGGGTGGATCTTGTCAATCACATCATTCTCCTAATGATCTGATCCTGTTATCAACTCACAACTCATATCCATGGTTAGGAAACCTTAACTATCTTTGATCAATGAGCTAGTCTAGTAGAGGCTTACTGGGGACACGGTATTTGTTTATGTGTCCACACATGTATTTAAGTTTCCGATCAATACAATTCTAGCATGAATAATAAACCTTTATCATGAATAAGGAAATATAATAATAACCACTTTATTATTGCCTCTAGGGCACATTTCCAACACTCTCATCACGTCTTTTCTCTGGAATCCTATTTTGTTTACTTCATCTATCTATCGACATGTTCTGTTTTGTCAACAATCGTCCAAAAAGGGGGAGATTGTTGGTGCAATATTTGCCCTCTTATGTTTTGGAAATTGTTGACACAAATAGGCATTGACTGATTTGTTTGCTAGTGCACACGGAGAGAAATAATCCATGCAGAACCGAAGTGAATGCTATCTTTGGTGCCAAGTTAGAGGAACTTCATCGAAGAATGTATGTCGTGATTAGATGATTCAATCATATCTATCGAGCCATGTAGGTGTGAAGATTGATGTGAAGGAGTTGACCCCTTGAAAGTTATTGCTGACGAGAAACAATTGGTTTAGTGTTCGTCCGAAGAAAATTGACCACAACCGAGAGAAATCGAAGACGAAGTGAAGATGTGGAATTTATTTCGTAGTTCATTTCTCTCTTTATTGAGTCATAGGACCACCATACTCTTAAGAGGGGTATAGATTCTCGAAGCTTAGATCTGTTGTGATGCTTAGCCCAAAACCTACGCAAGACTGAGAGAAATTTCTTTATGCTCTGAATGCTTACCTGACCACAGAATGTGTAGTTCTTTGGTGTCGTAGGAGATATCTTTCAGACCGAGGAGTTAGGATTTCTTGCACCACAAGGAATGTTACCGTTGTGCTCAAATTTTGACTGTTGTACTTGTGTTGTTCGGCCATTGGATGTTCCGCATGTCCAATTTGGTCATTTCCCTTCAGGGAAGGCTGCGGCTATAAATATCCACCCCACTCCAACTTTGTCTATTGGCTGCTCCGCTTAAGATTTCTGACAAGATTGATTGAGCATCCCCTCTCCAGGAGGTTTGAGTATAAAATCCACCGAGAGAAAACCAAGAGCCACAACTTAGACAGTGATTATGCATCATAGTAGTTCTGAGTTCGGTTTCTTATACCTATTACTCTTGAGAGTTGTGCGCTCTCTATACGGATAGGAGTCGACTCAAGTGTTGAAGAGTTGTTGTGTTGACCAGCGAGATCCTCGGCAGCCAAGAGTAATTGTGGTTTGCGAAGGAAGTCTGTCGAAGGTTTGGAGATCGCCGACAAGTATCTACCACAAGTGAAATCAACTAGAGTCGGCAGCTCCGAGTTGAAGGAGAATAGGACAGAGAGAGGTTTTCTCATATGTTCAATCACAAGTCCCTCCAACCAGATGTAGTCCTTTGGCAGAAGGGCAAACTTGTCTACCAAATCCTTCTGTTACCATCGAGCACCATTGGGTCCACTTTACTATTCTGAAATTCTCTCAGCAGTTAATTTTCGTGCTCTGTGTCACTAGAATATCTCAATCATTTATCTTTCATTCGTGTAATGTTATTCTCATCTTGCCCGGTTTAGCTATTCTTCGACATTATTGTAGTCACTTTATGATAGCTTTTGTTTCGCAGTTCGCCACTAGTTTTCATTCATGTTACTGCAACTACTTGTATGCTGCATTACCATTGTGATAGTTAAGCATGTCCTCTACTATGCTCGAATGATTATTGCCTCCTATCTCGAAAGATTTGTTCCTCGGTAGTATACTCACTCGGTTTGTTATCTAATGTGTTATTTTCGCTGCTATGTTTGGGCTTGATGCAAAACTTTGGC